AAGCATGGCATCAGATTTTCTTCTGCTATTGGTTTCTTCTCTCCATTTCATTTGAGAGGCAAGGCTGGCAGCAGGAAGACTTTCTAGCTGCTACATGCAACCAGGGTTTGCCTACTTGGGTGGGTGGTATGGATACATGCACATATACAGGATAGTGATGGCAAGATCCCCCCAAAAATTGAGTCCTGATGGTAACATCCTATTGAGATGAGCAGACCTGTGCACACCTGCTCAGAGCTGTTTTTCCAGGCTATCTGAAGGCTCAAGCAGCTATCACTGAATAGTTGAATATACTCTTGGCATATTTTCAAACATAATTTTTGCAACCATCAAGCCTACAATAAGAGCTCCTTTTCTAAATTCATTAGATTGTCATGAACTTACCCCCTGGGGGTTTTCAGCCCCCACTGAAGGGTGGGGTGGGTGCACTGGTTAACCCATCCAGTTAACCCACCCCACCTTCTAGTGCAGGTTGGAAAACCCCTAGAAGAGCTCCCTCTACTTCCTTTCCCTACTCCCATTCTGATAACAGCACAGGGTCACAGGGAGGAGGGGCCATTTTAGGGGAAACTGGCTGCAGGCTAGAGCCAGCAGCTAGATTCCCATCTCCCCTGGAATCAACAGTGAACTTCTGTTTGTTCAACGGGATTGTTGTAACTCAGAACATTTCCTGCAAAGCCTTCTCAGTTATAGTTGGCAGCTGCACTTCTGTCTGTGCCCTAACTTCCTTGCAGTGAGTGGAGGTGCTCTTGCCTAAAACTCATTTAACTGCAAGGAGAATCAGGATTAGAACATCTTAAATGGGGAAGAAAATAATTCAGAGATTAGGCCATTTTATAATTTACCTGTTTTAGAAATCAAACTCTTTTTGAGCATTAAAGGGATTTTTTTTGTCTTTATAGAATGAGATAGAATAGATACTAGTCTTTTTTTCTCAAAGAATTTATGATACTAAATGTATGCCCCCCAGAAAGATTACTTTCAAAGGTTTGCTCAATTCTACTGTACCTTGTTAGGATTGGGACCAGTTCTGCAATCTCAATTCTACACTTTTCCTCAATCAGCATCTTCAGTATTTACACATAATTTGGTGCACTTGTAAACATGGACCGTTAGCCAGCCCTCAATCCAGTATTTCATGGGAAGAAAGGTCTCATGTAAGAGGAAGAGACTGAAGTGCAATAGTAGAGCAATTCATCTCAAGAAGCAGGAGAAATACCAGGGGGAAGTACACAGATAACAGAGTAGCTTAGGTCTCCAGTGTTGGCTCCAGAAGGCACATGTTTGAAGTTGCAATCTAGACTTATGCTAGGGGATGCCCCCAGTTTTGGTAGTGCCCTTGTTTTGCCTACTCTGTACCTGTGGCATGCCGTAGGGCAGTGGTGCTCAACATTTTTGGTCACCAGGCCAGATAAGCAGTGCTGTCCGCAGCTGGACCCAAATGATGATTCTGATCCAGCATGGGGTGGTTGCAGCAGGGCCCCATCCTACTATGTGGAGGGGGACAGGGGGCATCTTGGCTCCAACCTGGCCCTATGAGGGTGGGGAGGAGGCATGGCCCAGCCCCGCCCTGGCCCTGTGGAGCAGGAGCAGGAGCAGGAGCAGGAGCAGGAGCAGGAGCAGGAGCAGGCATGGCTTGGCCCTGTGGAGGAGGACAGGAGGCTTGAGCTGGCTCCACCCTGGCCCCATGGGGAAAGGGAAAGTGGCTCAGCCCAATCCAGCCTGGGTGGAGAGGTATGGCTTGACCTCATCCAACCATGGGGGTGGGGGGAGAAGGGGGCATGACCTGGTCCCCCAACCTGCTGCACAGGGCTTGGGGTTTGGGAATTTGACAGAAGGGGAGGGAGGCCATATTGCTGCTGCTCCCCTACTGTCAAATTTCCTGATACGTGGCGAGCCCTGTGGGGCGGAGGTTAATCATCCCTGTGGTAGGGTGGCCTTGCTATTGCTGGTTCTGTGCCTTTTATTTGTGGTGTTTAGAGAAGCTGATTTTTAGGGATTTGGGGTGAATGGCTTATTGCAAATAGAGAGGACTGCGCATGATGGCCCAGGAGACTCCTTACAGTCCTAAAGTTCTCTGTAAGTCAGCTTTAAATCAGTCCCTCATCATTCGTGTTGCTAGCAGAATTGTTCCTTGGTGATGCTGCAGGAAATCAGTAAGTCTTAACTGTTCCAGCACAATGGGCTGCTAAACTCAGGATGACTTTTGACTTTGACATATTGTTAGGATTGCAATACATTTATTCAGGTTGAATATTAGGGAGCAGAATAGGTGTCCTTTCATTATGACCAAGAGTCTTACACGTTACTGAGTCATATAGAAGCAAAGCTGGAAAGGACTGCCAGAGGCCATCTATTCCAACCATTTTATATAAACTCCTTGTAAACCACTTAGGAAAAAACTATACAGTCTACCCTGACACAACACAAGACGTAATACCCTAACTTGCTAAGCATAAAGCAGAGGGACCACAGTGGCCAACATCCTGCTGTTGAAAGGGTTGTTAAAATAAGCTTGAGAAATCCCATGTCCCCCTGCTACAGAGGAAGGCAACCCCCCCC